GCATGTGCCCTTGGCCGGAATCGAACCCGGGACCCTTCGGTCCGCAGGCCGACACTATCCACTGAGCCACACCGGCCAGGGTAGATGTAAGAGAAATTTCTTTTTTTCTTTTTAAAATGATTGTAGAGTGAGGGGAAGAGAGAGAGAGAAGGAAACATCCACTTGCTGTCCCACTCACTCAGGCACGCATTGGTTGGTTCTTGTCTGTGCCCTGACTGGGGATTGAACCCACAACCCTGGCCTGTCGGAACCACGCTCTAACCACTGAGCAGCCTGGCCAGGTGTACGAGTGGGTTTCCGTGGGAATAGTAGGAGCCAGGTTTTGTCCGTATTGAACCGAGATGTCCCAGGGACTCCTGAGGGGATTTCAAGTCGGGGGCTCAGGTGAAGGGTTCTGATGGAGACACCCACGCCGCCCGTGGTGGACGGACCGCGATGGAGCTGTGGGTCAGAGCCCGCAGCAGCAGCTTCAGTCCTGGTGGCCGTGTCCTTAGGTCACCAGGGGCCTGCGGGGCCAAGGCTGGGTCTCCTGCTGGACACCCCCTGGGGGGGGTGGGGGCCGCTTCACAAAGACACCTGAGGCAGAGTAGGGGCCATGGGGGAGGGGTTGCGGGAGTGCAGAGGGTAGTGGACAAAAGATGGATGTGCCCTGGCCGGTGTGGCTCAGTGGATAGAGCGTCGGCCTGTGGACCGAAGGGTCCCAGGTTCGATTCCGGTCAAGGGCACGTCCTTGGTTGCAGGCTCCCCTCCCCCATCTCCCCCCGTCGGGGTGGGTGCAGGAGGCAACCAATGGATGTGCTCCTCTCACAGGGATGTTTCTCTCTGTCTTCCCTCTCTCTCCCACTCTCCCTAAAATCAGTGGGAAAATATCCTCGGGCGAGGATTAAAAAAGAGAAGAGAGCCCTGGCCGGTGTGGCTCAGTGGATAGAGCGTCGGCCTGTGGACTCAAGGGTCCCGGGTTCGATTCCGGTCAAGGGCATGTACCTTGGTTGCGGGCACATCCACAGTAGGAGGTGTGCAGGAGGTAGCTGATCGATGTTTCTCTCTCATCAATGTTTCTAACTCTCTATCTCTCTCCCTTCCTCTCTGTAAAAAATCAATAAAATATATTTAAAAAAAAAAAAGAGAAGAAGGGACGGATGTGGAGTGCGGCAGTGAGGTGGCAGGGAAGGTGGCTCACAGGCTCTGAGCTTCGCGGGATTCGCTCAGATGCAGGGGGGGCCTCGGGGAGAGCCGGGGGGGTGATGTGAGGCACGTGGGCCTGGGCGTCATTAGCGGCAGGAAGCTGAGCCTTTGAGGGGACACTTGGCAGCGGAGACTCAGTGAGGGCTGAGGGTGTCTGAAACCCGCGTGTGGTCCCAGGTGGCCGAGGAGAGAGGGAGGGTCAGGGTCGGGCAGGGAGGGGGGCAGGGAGGCCTGCACAGCGGGCCTGGGGGTGCCCTTGGCAGTCAGGGCCCTGGAGGCCTGGGCAGATGGGATTCCTTTTTTTTTTTTTTTTTTTTTAATATATTTTTGTTGATTTCAGAGAGGAAGGGAGAGAGAGAGAAAAACATCAATGATGAGAGAGAATCACGGATCGACTGCCTCCTGCACGCCCCACACTGGGAATCGAGCTTGCAACCCGGGCATGTGCCCTTGACCAGGGATTGAACCCGGGACCCTTCAGTCCGCAGGCCGACGCTCTATCCACTGAGCCACACCGGCCAGGGCAGGATGGGATTCTGATCACATGTGCCAAGCCCTCCGGATGCCATGTGCACACGGGCGTGTGGTGAAGCTGGGAGATGCATGTGGTGTGTGTTGGTGGGAGGGGGTGGCAGTGAGGGGTTGGGGGCGTGAAGGGAGGTGCTGGAAGGAGTGATGCGCACGTTGGGAGGGAGTGTAAACCCATGGCCTCAGGCGCTGGTACTGGGGGCTGATGGACCCAGATTTGATGGTGGCCCTGGCCAGTGGCTCAGTGGTCAGAGCTCCGGCCTGCATGCCGAAGGGTCCCCCGCACTTAATTCCCTCACATGGATGCTTTGTTTCCTCTCCCCCTGTCCCCTCCCCTCTCTCCCCACCCTGGCAGGGCTGTGTGACCCTCGAGGACATGGCCGTCCGCTTCTCCCGGGAGGAGCGGCGGCTCCTGGATGAGGCTCGGCGGCGTCTGTACCGCGACGCGCTGCTGGAGAACGTGGCGCTGACGGCCTCCCTGGGTGAGCTTCCCCCGCCTTCCCCGCCCGAGGGTGTTGTGCGAGCGCCCGGCCCGTGCCCACCTCGTGTGCACTGCCACCCCGCTTCCCCGAGCTGCCCAGAGCCTTGTGGGCAAGGGTTTGGGGACGAGGACTCCCGCCGTCAGCCTGGTGGCTCGCACCCTTGGCCTCTCCCTGGCCTGGTGACACGGTGACGGTCCATGCGGTTCTGTCCCCAGGCTCTGGCCTCTTCCTGTGTCTGACGTGGGATCTGCCTGTGGCTGGAATTCAGGCACCAACACCGTCACAGCCTGAGCGGTCGTCGGCCACGGGGTGCGCTGCTCTCACCCCCCTGTCTTGTCTCTCCCGCAGGCCTTGCATCTGGCGGGACCCGTGAGCTCCCCCAGCTGGCGCAGTGGGGGGAGCCCCTTCTGCCTGCTGGTGGCGTCGGGACTGCGGCAGGACCAGCGGGTACGGAGGGAGAGGCAGTGGCTCAGGGGGGCTCACAGGGGGCCTGGCGGTTTGGTGCCAAGACAAGGGGCCAGGCCTGCTTTCCATCCTCGCTTTCCCAGTTGCCCGCTGGGGAGGGAGCCCGCAACCCGGGTGTGTGCCCTGACCAGGGATCGAACCGTGACCTCCTGGTTCATGGGTCGGTGCTCAACCACTGAGCCACGCCAGCCGGGCAGTTGCTGCCATCTTTCTGGGTCTGAACACCCTTCTGGGCTGTGTTCCTGGGTGACCAGCAGCTTCCGGCTCTCAGGAGCCGATCCTTGTGTCCTGGCTGCTCCTGAGGCCCCATGGGCCTGGGAGCTGGTCAGGCCCTTCCCACACGGTCTCCCGCCTCATCCTCCCGCAGCCCCGGGACTCGGCTCGGCTGGGTGTGTCGGGGGCAGGTTTGTGAGGTGCTGCCCCTCCCCCC